GGTAGGTGGGGGTGATGGTGGTGCTAGGGCGCTAGGCAAATCATCGCCACCCAACTTAGAGAAGAGGAGAGGTGGGGAGAGGGGAAGAGAAGGAGAATGGCCAACAGAGCCTCGTCGGTGCTGATTAGGGGGAGGGGGGGAGAGCGTGCTACGCAAGTGAGACTGTAACACTGGATGAGGAGGTGTCACTTTGATAGGAGAACGAGGAGTGCAGAGGAAAGATAAGGTTATACTGCCGTTTAATATTGATTGAGATTGGTGATTTACTTGCAAATTTTCCATAGCCAGTCCCAAAATTTATTACAGTATATGGAATCGAACTGTTTAAATGTGACCCACAAAAGAATGTCGGGCATGAGGGAGCCTAGAAAAAGAGAAGGAAAAGGAACATCTCTGGTAGGGCACATTCCTCTCTCCAATCTCCATGGGGCCTATCACAAATCCGAAGAAACCACAAACAGCTGGCCAGCCGAAGAACAAAGTGATTGATTTGGTAGCAGCAAATCAACACCATCATTGCGCAGGAGGACAACGAGAGAGATTATTCGACCTCCTGGCTCCTGCTGCGTGTCCGGCCCGAACTAACTAAAACTATACACTAAACGCAACACAGCTGGGAGGAGGATAGGAGAACTTATCCAGCTACTACTGGTCACTGCTGGTTCGGTGGTTCCCGGGACAAGAAGCTAGGCACATTCTCCTCCCTTTTTTCCCGTGGCGAGACGAGGGGCCCTCCGCCATTGCCACGCCCATGCTGCTCCTCGAGGGACCAGCGCGCTAGCGCTCGCGTTTGAAACCTTTGCTGCGTGCTTCCATCAGGGAGAGAGGATGATGCGGCAGCTAGCAGCAATCAGCCAAGCAAGCATGCATGCTTGCGCAGGCAACTTTTGTTTTCGCGGGCAAAGCGCAACGGATCGACCGATCGATCCGGTGGTTTCTTGGGTGCACTACTGCGTAGGCTTGGGCAGCTGGGCTGGGTATGCAGCAGTACGATCGTACGTAGGGCATGATCTGAAGGCTGAAGCTGCCATGCATCAGACGAGTTCATCATGGTGCGGCATGCCGGCATGCAGCTCGTTACGGCGACGGCAACTTGGGCCGTGCTAGGTTTCATGGGCTAATGTTTAGCCTTGACCTTTTAGCTTTAAATTAGCCCTCAGAGCAGACTATTAGCCAGCTATAAACATATTCTAATAAGATAAAAGATGAGAGAGAAGAGCAGCGGGCTATAGATTTGTAGCCAGCTGCAGCACGGACTCCAAGACACAGTGTGTGTATGACAGGTGAGACCATATATTAATAGTATAGTAAGCAACTATTGTATGAATTAGCTATTAGATTGGTTATAGATGAATTGGAGCCAGTAGTGGCCTATACTATTAAACTTGCTCTCAAGGATCTAAACAGGTGGGCTAATTTTGAGCTAATATGAATTAGCCTCCCTCAAAACATTACCCTCTCCAAGGGACGCTAATGGGGCTAATTTTGTGTTGGGACCATCAAAATCAGCTCTCTCTCTCTCCTTCCCTCTCCTATCTTTCTACTCTCTCTCTCCACCTTTTAGCCTTGAATTAGCCCATGGATCCAAACATGCCACCCTAGGCTAATGTTTAGCCTACTAATTCATGACTAAACATTAGCTCTCAAAATTAGCTCTGGGCTAATCTTCCAAACAGGGCCTTAGGCCTGGGTTCAGCACGTACTCTTCTAGTAGTCTAGCACTATACTGTACTACCAAGGGATTTACAGCTTTTCTTTTTAGGGATTTACAGCTTTAATTAGAAGCTGCCCAAACGGTTCAGCTTTTGATTTAGGCCGAGTTTAGATCCAAAGTTTTTCTTCAAACTTTCAACTTTTTCATCACATCTAAACTTTTCTATACACAAACTTCCAACTTTTCTGTCACATCGTTCCAATTTCAACCAAATTTTCAATTTTGGCGTGAACTAAACACACACTTAGATTCTAAGAAGCTAGCCAGAAGCTAAAAAAAATTAGCTTTTCCATATTCTCAAAAGCTAGATACCAACCAGCTACTTCTCATAATCTTAAGCTCTCCCAAATAGGCCCTCTATTACACTAACACCTCACTTCCCAGCTTCGAGGGCAGCGACAGAAGACTTCTCAAATTCTTCGAAATAGTACCAAGCACATTAATTCAAGGGCCATATTTTTCCCTTATCAAAATTTAAATCTTAAAACTTACTTTTTTAGTTAATTTTATTTTTTTCATCACAGTTTCTTTTCAACATTAACGTTTAAGTCACTAAAAACACATATGTAAATATTTTAATCATAAATTATTTTTCATCGCTATTATCAGTAATTGGCCAACCGATGGCAACCCAAAACTTCACCGAGCATATATGCATTGCACAATTGTATCACTTGTGTTGTTAGGGTTTCCTTTGGATTATTGAAGGATTTTCAGATGAAAAAATCTTAGGAATTTTTTTCTAGGGAAGTTGTTTGTTTTGTAGAATTTGGTTTGGCAAAGTCCTTTGGAATTCATTTCCTATGCCCTAATTTCAAAGGATTTTAAACATGGGTCCAACCTCATGTTATCCGTTTCCTATAAAAATTCCAAAGTAACATCTCTCTTTCACTCTCTTTATCTTACTCAATCAAAGTAATACATTAATTTCCCTAAAAACTAAAGTAGTACGCAATCTTAAAATTCCTATATTTTTTTCTAGGAGCCATCCAAACATATGCTATGTACAAGCATGTGATTTTATTTCTCATAGGGTCCAACCGCCACAACATTTCAATCCTTTTTTTTATTCATGTGTTTTTAGAATGATGATGTGTTCCTAAGAAGCCCTTATTGCTTACTTCTAGTACTACTAAGAGCACTATCTATTTATAGTACCGTCTTATCTGTCTGGTATTTCCTCTATCCTAAAATATAACAACTTATAGCACATATAATTTATTCCAAAATACAACAACTTCTACACCAACATTCTTTTTCCAATCAATAACAACCTTTCACCATTCACTTTTCTTATATATCTCTACTTCTCAACCAATCATAACTCATCCCCATTTAATTATACATAATTTCTTAATAATCGTGTTCAACTCTAAAACTTCTTAGGCCATCCCTAACCATCCATGTCATCTAGTGTCCATACCGTTAAATACATTGTCACATAGCAAAAATCCGATGAGATAAGAGAGTTAATGACGATAGATGTAAAAAGATGAAGAAATCATTCTCATGCAAGAAATCATCTATACACAAGAATCAAGAATGAAAACAAATGGATAGGTGGATAAAAGGAGAGAGAACAGAGGTGATTGGATAAGAATTTTATTTGAAGGCACCATCCATTCAGTGGCGGAGCCAGAAAATCTACACGTGTGGGGCTGAATTAACGGGAAGTCAAATATTTTCAGAATTACATGGTATTTTTCAAGATTACAATGGGAATCATGGAGCTAGTCATGGGGCTCAAGCCCTAGCTGCCCCATGCCTGTTTCCAGCCCTGCATCCATTGGATATATAGTTTCTATACATGGTGTTTATATGATACGGTAATATGGAACTACTTGATAGTTTCTGAGTTGGGGATGACCTTAATATAGTATTGTACAGAAGTGACCTTAATATGGTATTAAATAGGAGTATGTTGTTGGGAACGGTGATGAAGGTAGTGCAATGCACCAAAGGATATTGGGGAGTCAGGCAATACTCCCTCTGTAAAAAAAATCAAATCTATTTAGATTCATCCATAGGATTTGATTGTTTTCGGGAGAGAGTGAGTCGTCATTAGCAATAGAGTTCAAAATTGCAGGCAATAATCATTCGTGGTAGAGTTCAAATTGCAGGAGGAAGAACAGTGCACAAATATACCAGGAACTCGTCCTAGCCGTTTTATTGAAATCCGATCCGATTGCCCATAAGGATAGCTACAGTAACGACGCTGCATGCTATACATACATGGATGCACAATAAACTCAGAGTATTGCTACATTGCATTGCTACATTGTCTCTGTAGATTTCTGTCCCATCCGCCACAGACACACTGTTGGCACACTGCTTCTCTGCCGTCATAGCCAGATCCACGTTCCAAACCGGCCCTTCACCCCCGAACAACAACAGGAGGTCTGGTGACATCGAATCACAAAACAATTTCTTCTTCTTCTCTCTCTCTCTTTTGAAAATTCACAACAATTTCTTCAATATTGAATACTCCTACTACTACTCCTACTGCATTGCAGTGAATTTTAGTATATTCAGATCAAGAAGCACACTTTCAGGGAGAAAGAAGAAGACAAATGCTGTTTCCTCTTTATGGCAATTGCGTGCACTGATTTCCCTCCTAAATTTTAAGCGATCCGTATGGAATCAGAATGTTTGGCTTGGGCAAAAGTGAAGCCGGGCTGGCTTTTATCATGCCAGTGGGTGACTTTGGGGCCCTTTCCTCATCATTCCTGGAACATATGTGAAGGCTGGCTACCAAAGACCCACACAAACGCACAGCACAGGCATTCTTTGTCTGCATGGCTGCCTTGCGCTGTGCTTCTTTGACCAAACTCCAAGCCAAAAACAAACGCACACAGCACACTAGTGTATAATACTAGTAGTAATACCTTGACAAAGCACAAGTGTTTATTACATGCATGCCTTGTTCATCCGGTTGATCAGAGGTGAAGCGCGATTAACTAATGCACGTATCAACCGCCGCTAATACGTGCCAATCTTGCTCTTTTTGAGCTTTCTAGAACACGTCCAAGTTGAGCATTGTTTCAGTGAAGCAGTGTGCTAAATTGAATAGCAGTACTCCGGTTAAGATAATTAATAGGCGGGCTTGATTCGTTCGTTCGCTCGCGGGCTTTGCTCGCATTTGCGACACAAGCAGTGCAGCCCAGCTAAGCTAGCTGTTACTGTTGCGAAGTGACTGGCTCCTTGTACAGTTGTCCTGCCGTTTCAATCTCTGTTAGATACACTCTCCCCTTGTCTCTCTCTCTCTCTCTCTCTTTCTCTCTCCAATGTCCATGAAGTCTGTGGCAAAAGCAGCCTTCTTTCAGCCACTCTGGGCAGCATCCAGCTACATCGTCTAGGCAGCAGTAGCATATGGTGGAACAGAGAGAGGAAGTCCTGGCCATCCTGTCCAATGGCAACTTCACAATTAAATTCTTGCATCTTTATGGGGGTGCTTGTTTGTGCTTGTGTGCTTTGAACAGCATGGTGCTTAATTGCCTCGATAAGAAAAGGAGAGGGGGTTAAGCAGCTAGGAGTACCAGTGGTGTTCGTGGCTTCATGTCATGCAAGAGAGCTCAGCTCACAGATCCCTATGGAGTGGATAGCTATCGTGGGAGAGGCCAAGAACAAACTGCTCTAGATTTTGTATCGTATCCTCGCGTTGCATTACGGCTACTACTGCTGCTGCTGCTACTTATCCACCGCTTTTTTGCTTTGGCCCTCTCATTCCTTTTGCAGTTTTTTTCTGCTCAGCTCACCGGGTCCCCTCTCTCATCTTCCTCGTCGTGCACCTTGCATGGATGTAGAAGTAGCGAGCTAGCGCGCGGCGACTGCGAGCCGAGAGAGCAACGCAAGAACGGCACGAGAGGCTGGCAGCGAGCGAGCGTGTGCATGGTTGGTGCGAGCAAATGGCCAGCGGCGGCGGCAGCAGCAACTGGTTAGGCTTCTCGCTCTCCCCGCACATGCCGGCCATGGAGGTGCCGTCCTCCTCTGAGCCATCGACTGCTGCTCATCATCATCATCATCATCATCCACCTGCTGCTGCTGCTGCTGCCGGAGCCATGTCGTCTCCTCCCGACAGCGCCACGACCTGCAACTTCCTCTTCTCCCCTCCTGCAGCACAGATGGTCGCTCCTTCACCTGGCTACTACTACGTCGGCGGCGCCTACGGAGACGGGACCAGCACCGCCGGCGTCTACTACTCGCACCTCCCTGTCATGCCTATCAAGTCCGATGGCTCCCTCTGCATCATGGAAGGTCACTGTTCACCTCTCCCTTCTCTCTCGATCGATTTATATAATCTTTGTCTCTGACATTGATCTTCTTGGTGTGAAGTAGGCATGATGCCGTCGTCATCGCCAAAGCTCGAGGACTTCTTGGGGTGTGGCAATGGCAGTGGCCATGACCCGGCCACCTACTATAGCCAGGGCCAAGAAGCAGAGGATGCAAGCAGGGCGGCCTACCAGCACCACCAGCTAGTCCCCTACAACTACCAGCCATTGACGGAAGCAGAGATGCTGCAAGAGGCCGCAGCGGCGCCAATGGAGGACGCAATGGCGGCGGCCAAGAACTTCCTCGTCACCAGCTACGGCGCCTGCTACGGCAACCAGGAGATGCCGCAGCCGCTCAGCCTCTCCATGAGCCCAGGGTCCCAGTCCAGCAGCTGCGTCAGTGCAGCTCCCCAGCAGCATCAGCAGATGGCGGTGGTCGCTGCAGCTGCTGCTGCTGGTGATGGCCAGGGAAGCAACAGTAATGACGGTGGCGAGCAGCGTGTCGGGAAGAAGAGGGGCACCGGGAAAGGGGGCCAAAAGCAGCCTGTTCACCGGAAGTCCATTGACACGTTTGGGCAGAGGACATCGCAGTATAGGGGCGTCACCAGGTAATCTGCTTACAAAGATTCAGCTTTTGTGTGCATCATGTATCATCAGATCATCATCTGTGAGCTGTTTGCACATAGGGTGTAGAGGCCGGAAGGTTCCTTCCTTGTTATCTGAAAAAAAGAGAAAAAAAAACTGTTCTTGCCATGGTTCTTGTACTGACTAGTTGGCTTAATGTGTTTTTAGTTCTATCTACTGATAGGCATGTGTGATCTCTTCTATGTGGCATTTGATAGTTTGGTTAGTACACACTTGTACATTGCTGTTTTTGAGCTAATCAGTTATTGCTCGGTTGCCATTTCTTGTTGTCACTCCTACTATACTAGTAGTAATAGTACTAGTTTCCAGCATTGATGAGTTCTTCATTCCTTCTTACGGCTCTGCTGCTCTTGTTAGTCAGTGGGGCGTCTACTGTTTCTTGATTACTACTACTAATAATCAGTTTAATGCATAACGCTGCAATGGTTGGATTTATTCTCTAGAAGTACCTCTTATTTTGGTCCTTTGCACAAGATTATGGCTTGGGGTGGCTCTGTTACATCTGATGCCTCTTCAGTTCCTTGTATTGATGAGGCACCTACTCTTTTGTTTTTGAGCAAATCATTTGACCCTTTTTATATTGAATGACGAAGGTTTGTGTGTGTTTGATTCACTGGAGCAGGCACAGGTGGACTGGAAGATATGAAGCCCACCTCTGGGATAACAGTTGCAAAAAGGATGGACAGACAAGGAAGGGAAGGCAAGGTTGAACCTTGAACATCTAGTACTACTACAACATCAAAATTTGTTCATCTTAAAAATCTTGTTGACAATGTCATTCTGATTTTTATATTTCATCATATTGGGCGTTACCATGACCGAAATTTGATCGCTTGCAGTATATCTAGGTAACTGTTGCCCCTTACAATTTCTTTGTTCTCATTGTACTTATATTTTGTATCTGTTGCTGACCTTTTTCTTCGTGTTCGTTAGGTGGTTATGACACTGAAGATAAAGCTGCGAGGGCTTATGATCTGGCTGCGCTGAAATACTGGGGGCTATCTACGCATATAAATTTCCCGGTATGGATGATGAAACCGTGTAGTACGGTGGGATATGGGACTTTGATTGGAGTATCCATTTTCTGTAATGTGGACTAATTTATTGTGTTTGGCAGTTAGAAAACTACCGAGATGAGATCGAGGAGATGGAAAGGATGACAAGGCAAGAATATGTTGCGCACTTGAGAAGGTCAGCAGCATGCTCATTTTGCCTGAATTCTATGATTAGATTATTATCAGATTGATATGTACTAGTAACAAGCTGTTTTTTTAAAAAACTATATGTACTAACAAGCTGTTCCTGCTCACAGGAGAAGCAGCGGGTTCTCTCGCGGTGCTTCCATCTACCGGGGAGTAACAAGGTGTTTCATTTTGTGCTGAACAAGCATATGCATTTTTCTTGATAATTATTTCAAGAACACATTCGCATCAAGATACAATCTCACTGTGTTAAATGTTAACTGCATTGCAGGCATCACCAGCATGGAAGATGGCAAGCTCGGATTGGCAGGGTTGCTGGCAACAAGGACTTGTATCTCGGCACTTTCAGTAAGAAAGACAGTGTACTCTATTTGATCTTAGAATCTAAACGCTTTCACAAAGTAATGCACCATAACCATAAGTCATTGCAGCTTTTAGCACTAACATTAACTAACTAGCGTTCCTTTGGGATGTGACTATCGATGATCTATGGAAATTGTCTTGTCAAAGTAGATTTGCCAAAGAAGTTAGTAGTAGACATCAATCAGCAGCTTTTACTGCTAATCTCTAGTATTGTCTTGGAGTACTGTACATCGTTGATGCATTTCTTTCCTGATCATTCTTTGCTTTTCCAGATGGTTGTTCTTTTCATAAGGCTGTGACCTCTGAACAAAGCAATCAGTTGACTGTTTTAACTCTCCTTTGGACTAAAAGATATCATTATCATGATGCAAAAATAACCAGATTGTAAATTGTACTTTGCAGTAGGATCTACATTGGTTTTTGGATGTATAAACAAGATGGCCTTATTACAACGGAGCGTTTCCATTGGTTAATCTATTTTTATGCAATACAGGCACTCAAGAAGAAGCAGCAGAGGCATACGACATTGCTGCCATCAAGTTCCGTGGCCTGAACGCGGTGACGAACTTTGACATCACAAGGTACGACGTGGACAAGATCATGGAGAGCAGCTCGCTGCTGCCTGGTGAGGCAGCGCGTAAGGTGAAGGCGATCGAGGCAGCGCCGGACCATGTGCCAATAGGCCGCGAGCTCGGTGCGACCGAGGAAGCGAGCGCTGCTACTGTCACGGGCACCGACTGGAGAATGGTGCTCCATGGATCACAGCAGCAGCAAGCTGCAGCGTGCACCGAAGCAACGGCAGATCTTCAGAAGGGCTTCATGGGTGACGCGCACTCGGCTCTCCACGGCATTGTCGGGTTCGACGTCGAGTCGGCGGCAGCTGACGAGATCGATGTCCCGGGAGGGAAGATCAGTGGCATCAACTTCTCGAACTCGTCTTCGCTGGTGACTAGCCTGAGCAACTCGAGGGAGGGGAGCCCTGAGAGGCTTGGCCTCGCCATGCTCTACGCCAAGCATCATCCCACCGCCGTCAGCCTCGCCGCCATGAACCCCTGGATGCCGATGCCGGCGCCGGCCGCAGCTCACGTGATGAGGCCGCCGAGTGCCATTGCTCATCTCCCTGTTTTTGCAGCCTGGACAGATGCTTAATTAGAGCCATGTTGCTGCTTGCTCGATCTTGCTTTTGATCGGCTCTTTTTGTAAACTAAAGCAAGATCAGCAGCAATCAGGTGCTTATGGTACTTAAATTAGCTGGAAGCCTGGAGTAGCATACTTGGTTATGATGGTAAGCACTAGGCTGGTGGTGTAAGTGTTTAACCAGTAAACCCATAGGTAGGACATTCAAGCAAAATCCAAATCTCTAGAGCATCCACTGGTAGTAGTAGTAGTAGACCTTTAGTGTTAGACCGGTAGTGTTCTTTGCTTCTTTTGAGCCTCTTTTTTTGGGGGAAATTTGGTTGGAATGTATGGCTTTTTAACACGAAATCAGGAATGTATGGCTTTTAACACGAAATCTGGCTGTGGCATTAAAAGGAAAAGGTTCAGTGAGAGCTGACATGGTGTCTCTCTGCTGGTTCGTTTCGTTCGTTCATTCATTCATTCATCAGTTAAGTTGGTTTTGTAATCAGTGGGGTCGTGGGGAATTCACTGCAGGTATGATCTTTTGACCGGAGTCGTCGTCCCAGCTCTCTGTCTCTCTCTCTCGTGTTGCATTCTTTTGCTTTCTCTGCATGGCACGGCATCTCTTCATGATGGTGACGAGAATCATAAACATTCCCTTCTTTTTGGTTGGGGAACGTTGCCACAAGGCTTCCTACATTCCAGCCCCAATCATTCCAAAGGGTTTCTCCTGCAGATTCCCACGGCAATGTTTCCATGTCCCAGCCTACAGCTTCATGATGGCATGGCCTGTGAAGGTGAGACTAGGCTGACATAGTCCTCGTTTTGCTTATGTTAATTACTTCCACCCTCCCAGAATGTAACAATCTAGGGCCCGTCTCATGTCTAGATACATTTTCATCCTATTTTGGTTGCTATATTCTGGGACACAGGTAATATAAACCGCAACAACTTATTGTTGAAGATGAGACTGACATAGTTATCGTTTTGATTAGGTTTATTATAAACCATAACAGATTATCAATAACTTGAAAAGTAAATAATAAACGATACTTATGTATGTTTATAGCAATTTAAAAGTAAAATGCTGAAAAAGATTGTAAAATTACTTTAAAATTTAGAGTTTTAAAATTTAAATTTTGCGATTTGCTTATAAGCTGAGGGGTTCCCCATCGTTTACACTCTCTTCGTATATTTTTTTTTCGCGCTGTACGTACGTCGTTGCATGAGGATAAGGGGCTTAGGGGAGTCGGAGTTGCAGCACGTTGTGCCGCAATGATGTCAATGATGGCATGTACCGGAATCTTGGCGGTCTCTTTTACCATGTCAGTGTCGTGGCGGCACAGGGAGGCGTTTGACCCTTGTACATTGGCTGCAAACCGAGAGCGGGCGATACCCCGCAACAGTGACGCGCACTATCTCCCCCCCTTTGCCTTTGGCGCTTGCTTGCAATTGCCTTTGCCTCTCCTTACGCGACAGCCTGTGCCGACAGGCGACAGCCGCCCGAGATCCAGCAAGCGCCAAGTCGAATTTAGCCAAAAGCAGATGTACAGCTTCCTCCCTAGCGAACCATGTTGCTCGCTCGCAGAGTCGCAGTCGCAGGCTCGCAGCGGCGCACAGTCACCCGTACCGTGCGTCCTCCTAGCGAACCATGTGCTTGCTCGGCCCCGGCGTCAGGCGGGCGGCGGGGCGACGGGCCCCGCGCCGCTCGCTCGAGCAGGCGCGTGGGTGCGGTGGTGGCGGGGTCGGGGGGGTCATCGTCTCGATCGCGCGGGCGTGTGGTTGCACGCATGTCATGTGATGGGCGGGCGCGGGCACACGGTCGCGGTGTTCCGTTTCGTCGTTGGCGTTTGTAGCCGCTCGCGAGGTGACAAGCGAAGCGAGGCGGGTTGGTTTGGTTCGAACGCGCGTTTTTTGTTTGCCGCGCGAGGGGTGGTAGCAGCATGGCAGGGCAGCGTGCTCGCCGTCAGCAGACAGAGCGCGGTGTCGTCTTGCTGCGCCCCCCGCCTGTTTTGTCGCGGCAGGATTTTTGCAAGTTGCAACAACACGGTTGTGTGAGGGTTGCAACGGGAGTTGTGATTTTCACAGGGGGGAACAGCGTTTTGTTTGTTCGGTGATTGATTCAAGAGTGCCTCGTCTGTCTTCACAGTTCCTGCTCGTTCCGTGGCAATTGAAATCTGCCCCAAAAACTGAGACAATCACGTGTCACCAGTTCGGTCATCAATAGTTGGCATCTCTATGCCCGCACTATAGTAGTAGTAGTACGATCTGAAAACTTTGACACCGTACCAAAAACTCGGGGGTGCCCGGTTAATCGAGCTTAGATTTGCTTATTTACCTGGCTCGTCCTATCGAGGCTGAGGAAACATAAACACAGCCTGTGATGCATGATGCACGCCAGCCGTACGTGTACGCCAACCGTGTCGCCATGCGTAAAAGCGTTTGCTCGCGGGCGAGATGGCGTCTGGGTCCGCCAGCGACCAGACGGTCAACCACTTTGATTACCTCTGCCTTTGGCGTTGCTCGTGAGAAACGAAGGTTTATCCTTCTGCTTCACGTCGCACCACACGTCTATCAATGTCCTTCTCGCGCTGGACAGATTCAGTGACTTGACACAAAGTTTCATCTCTTCCTTTTTTTTCCAGTAAAACTTTTTTCTTTTTTTCTGTTTCGAGAGGGGCCCCCGTTTGTCATGACCGAAAACAGAAGAACCCGGCTTGAAAGCCCATCACTGTTTGGCTGGTATAGCCGAGGAACAAGTTCCCTTTAGTTCCCTCAATTTAGCGTACAGTCTGATTTTCGTCCTTAACCAAAACCATATAAAAATATACAACCCGTCCTCTAACTCACAAAAGTAATGCAAACGAGATCCCTCGATAATACTGTCTTCGATTTTAGTTGACGTGGTGCCTACGTAGGTTCTTTGACTATGTCTTCATCGCACTTGGCATTTACGTGACGCTTACGTGGTAGTTTGATCCGAAAAAAAATAGCAAAATTGAATATAAAAAATATACAAAACATATCATGTTGGATGAAGACCTAGGGTTGGTTTGGTTTGTGGCCTAAATAGACCTTACCAAATTTTGTTAGTGCTAAATTTTAGCAAGTTTTGGCATGACTAATTTTGGTAAGGCAAAGTTGTGTTTGGATTGAAGTCAAAATAACCTAAATTCACTATTCAAATGGCCTATTTTCTTAGTCATGCTAAAATTTGACTTCAAACCAAATAGACAATAAACACTATTGAAATTGTCAAATATTGATAAGCCTAATTTAGACCTTAAACCAAACCAGCCCCTAGTAAAAAAAGCAACGTAAGTGCCACATGTCAATCAAATTTGGGGACAAAAAAGTAGTGCCGAGCGACCTCGTTTGGCTGGTGTTGTAAATTGGAGGGTGCGTTATCAAGTTTTGTTGTTAAGGAACGAATTTCAGACATAGACTAAGACCTAAAGTGAACTTATTCCTATAGCCGAAGTCATTAGCTTCATAAATGGGCCATTCGGCCCATCAGATCAGCTAGCCCGTACGTAACCCTACGGCCCAAAGCTACGGTTGCCTCCTCTTCAGAACCATTATTGGGAAAATTGTAACCATTCCATAATATGCCATCTTAACCCACGACTTATGGAGTCCTATATGTCATTGAGATACTGATGGCATATGTCGGGTAGACACCGCTTCAGCCTCTGCCCATCCAACTCGCAAAAATTCCCCACGATTCCACGAAAGTAGGAACCATGAAGCTTCGGTTGCGATCCATGGACCAGCGCGGCGGCGCCGGCGGCGCCGCCGAGACCCACCGCGTGCAGCTGCCGGACACGGCCACGCTCTCCGACGTCAAGGCCTTCCTCGCCACCAAGCTGTCCGCGGCGCAGCCCGTGCCCGCCGAGTCGGTGCGCCTCACCCTCAACCGCTCCGAGGAGCTCCTCACCCCCGACCCCTCCGCTACCCTCCCGGCCCTCGGGCTCGCGTCCGGTGATCTCCTCTACTTCACGCTCTCCCCCCTCCCGTCGCCCTCGCCTCCGCCGCAGCCGCAGCCACAGGCCCAACCCCTGCCCCGTAACCCTAACCCTGATGTCCCCTCGATCGCGGGAGCTGCTGACCCGACCAAATCTCCTGTGGAGTCTGGTAGCTCCTCGTCGATGCCGCAAGCTTTGTGCACGAATCCTGGCTTACCTGTCGCATCCGATCCGCATCATCCTCCACCGGATGTGGTGATGGCGGAGGCCTTCGCCGTGATCAAGAGCAAGTCGAGTCTCGTCGTCGGGGATACGAAGAGAGAGATGGAGAATGTCGGTGGTGCGGATGGAACCGTCATCTGTCGCCTTGTCGTGGCGCTGCATGCGGCCTTGCTCGATGCCGGCTTCCTCTATGCAAACCCGGTGGGGTCTTGCCTTCAGCTGCCACAGAATTGGGCGTCAGGTTCTTTTGTCCCCGTATCGATGAAGTACACCCTGCCAGAGCTTGTAGAAGCGTTACCTGTGGTTGAGGAGGGGATGGTGGCAGTGCTGAACTACTCCTTGATGGGGAATTTTATGATGGTGTATGGGCATGTGCCTGGGGCAACATCGGGGGTGCGAAGGTTGTGCTTGGAGCTGCCGGAGCTTGCGCCTTTGTTGTACTTGGATAGTGATGAGGTGAGCACAGCAGAGGAGAGGGAAATTCATGAGCTGTGGAGGGTCCTGAAGGATGAGATGTGCTTGCCTCTGATGATATCGTTGTGTCAACTGAACAATTTGAGCTTGCCACCGTGCTTGATGGCGCTGCCAGGTGATGTCAAGGCAAAGGTCCTGGAGTTTGTTCCTGGGGTGGATCTTGCAAGGGTTCAATGCACGTGCAAGGAATTGAGGGATCTTGCTGCAGATGATAATCTTTGGAAGAAGAAGTGTGAGATGGAGTTCAATACTCAAGGTGAGAGTTCTCAGGTGGGCAGGAACTGGAAGGAAAGGTTTGGAGCAGCCTGGAAGGTTTCTAACAATAAGGGCCAGAAGAGGCCCAGTCCTTTTTTTAACTATGGCTGGGGTAATCCTTATAGTCCACATGGCTTTCCGGTGATTGGTGGGGATTCAGACATGCTCCCGTTTATCGGGCATCCCAATCTCCTTGGGCGCAGCTTTGGAAATCAGCGCAGGAACATCTCACCCAGCTGCAGTTTTGGTGGACACCATCGCAACTTTCTTGGTTAAGTCATTTCGTGGGTTTTGCTAGTATGTTAAGAATATTTCATCTGAAAAGCTACATATAACATATTGTACATATTTTATAGTTGGCACTTTATGCATGTTCAGTTGTTAACTGTATTACTGTACTCGTAATCTTTTCTTTCTTTGTTGATATATCCTATATTTTCTTGTAGTACCAGTGTTATGCATGCCTTAATCATGGTAAAGTATCGTCTGTTTAATTCTCTGTGCTACAATATGCATTTCAAACACTTGTAACTTGTAAGTCTCATTTGTTGGATGCCTTTAGTCAATCTGATTATTTCATCCATCAACGGAGAAACAAGATACTGGTCATGTTATATACCATCATGATCTGCTGATGAGATTGAAACTGTCACTTGTTTCTAAAGTTTGCGTGAAATAACTGGAAGCAGGTGGTGTCTTTCTTTGGTAAAAGAAAAGTATTGTCCTTATCATCTCTTTGTTCTTTTCGTTTTATATGCTATGAAAAGATATATTCATCCCATATTCCGATAATTTGGAATACTTGCTTGCCTTTTGTGCTATGGCAACTTATGCATATTATTTTGTTATTTTTATGTTCGTGGGGGGTTGTAGCCTCACAGGTTGTAGCCTCCATACTGAATCGTGCAAAACTGCTATCCTACAAAGAAGGACAAACAAACTGGATAGGCTGTACTCATTAATCAATGTCTAAGCTAGTGCGATTAACTTGGGCAGCATATGGTCCGAAAACAAAGAAGGAAAAGGTGAACATATATCAGGAACAGATCAATAGACTTATCACGAGACTATAACCACTGGTGCCAAACGAATTAGCAAACAGATAATACCTTAGAATTTTTGTATTTGGCAATAAAATCTAGTAAGAATTTGTTGAGCTGCACTACAAACATGTATAGATAAGAAATAGCATCCAAGGCGAGGATGATATGTTGTTAAGACATACTATCGAGCAAATCCTGTGGCAGGTTTCTCTTACACCAGGTTTTACCTATGGTTTGTAAGTTTCTACCTGATTTTCATTGTATATATTATTTTGTGATTACACGAATCAATTGTTTCCTTCTATATATTGCTGAAACCGAGCTGCCCTGTTTAAATGCATTAGTTAATGTTATACGTTATCTGTGTTTGATAAAAAGCTTCTATGAAACTATGACCACTGTTTGCTTTTGTTTTGATCAAGCTTTCAGTGCAAGGACTTTTGGTTGTGCACACGTATGTGACATTTAGTGGATTTTTTAAAATCAAATACATTATCAGTACTTGGGGCTGGAGCAATCTGTTCCCTGGGGATACTTTTAGCAGGAACATGACTGAAACATTATCAGTTTAAAACAATATGACTGATTGTCATTTCCTTATTATTGTAATTGTATTTAGCAGGAACATGATTCTGAAACTTGTGTCTTGATGATCAGATACATGCGGTTGTATGATGTGTAAATGCATTTACTCTGACCAAAGGAAGGATATCGTACTAGCTGATAAGTATACCTGTGGTAATTATATGCAGAAGCCCGTCACACAACCTGGTAGGTGAGTAATATATATAAGCACTCTGGGGAACTATTTATTTCTTTCTAGAAATATTCTGAATAGTTGTTATGTTACCTGCATGCCTAAGTTAATTTCTTATTCCCTTTGTGTCCTTTTTGTGTTTGTCTGTTACTTTATTTTGTACAATGTTTCGCAGATCGTCAATATTCTCGTGGCTTGCATCTCAATTGGATTTCTCCAACTGATGCTTCCTCCTAACATATCCATTTTTGGTTGCGCGTACTTGTTTTATGATAAAGGAGAATAAAGGAGTCATCCTTTTTTTTTTCACTTCGACTTACGAATATGGTTTATTTTCTTGGTTGTCGATGCACCACTTTATGAATCTGACTGTAGTATTTGCTTTTACTTTTATTTTTCCTTCGCAATAGGTGGCTTATTATATTAGTCTACCATTCCCTACTTTGCCAGTACATCACTATTGGGTTGAGTTTGCTGTGGTATCATTTGGTTGATTTGGTTCAGGTATAATTTTTTAAGAGATTTTAGTCTTTTGTCCTAAGTGAATATGGGTTGCAGGATCTATATGACAATAAAGTTCTTGATTTTATACAGAAGCTTCACATTTACACTGCAGTCACTACTTGAATTATCAACATTTCTCACTATACATATATAATCAGCTGAACGCCTGAACCTTTTGAGATATTTGAGTTATGACTAGAGGCAAAAATGGATAGTTTCTTTGTAAAACGATATATAACAATCAATAATGGTTTTTCATGGACTTCTGAAGCAACTCGACATTGATGTTCCCATACCATATTTTTCTTGAGGCTATGATGGTTGAGTGAACCATATAGCTCTTCTCTCTCCATAGTCCATTGGAGTCTTAGACCTGGGGGGCCAAAGATTGCTCCATTTTCTTAAAGTGGGCTTTATATTGACCGCAGGGAGAAATATCACTTTTTTGGTGTAGGCGTGCATCTATCTACTTTGCCTACACATGTTCTATTGACTATTGGACTCATCTGTCTTTATGTTGCATAATTAAACCATGAAATATCTTTCATGAGATTTAACTTTTTGATCACTTCTCTTTGGACTGAGACTGAACCACCGTTACGATACTCAAATGGGAGCTGTACGGAGTGTCACGGAGTCCAAGAAAAGCTACAACTTTCAGTAAGGGGAGTACTCTTTGCTTGTGGCTTGGTGCACTGAAAAGATTGTGGGGGAAGGAGTATGGGAAGAAAGAGTTTATAAATCCAAATGGGTAAGAATTTGAGTGTTTTACTGCCAGGATATCTCAATGCTATGATTGGTGATCTAAATTATGGTTAAACGTTACTCTGTGGTTCCATGAACTTTGGCTGCTCTATGAAAAGTATTTAGTTTCAGTTCCGTGCCAAATACAGCATTTGAGTTTCAGTTATGTGGCAACTACCGTTCATACGCAGCCTTATATATTTTCCTCATTGTTCCTTTTACCAATAGTCCTGTAAACCCGAATTCTTCTGTTTCACATTCAACTTTGTCCTGCATACAGTATGTTTTACGTTCTCAGCCTGTGCTATTATTGAAAGGCTATTGCATTGCAGTGGAGGACCTGAAGCGATACTGCATCCCAGCGACCCAGCTCAATTCACGCATCCAGTTCTGTTAGCCTCGGAACAATAGTACTCCTACAGATAGCTGGCTGATACTGCACAAGCTACAGGCAGCCTCAGCGGAGTAAGTACAAGAATCCAATTCGCTGCCAACACACGTCTGCCTGCCGCTGGCAGGATGCTCCTGCAGCAGGCATTCACTTTGACTGTATTATTCCACTGCCAATCAATCCTTACCAGCTTCCCCCATCTGCTGGTGCCTGCTGCTCAACAACTCAAGCTTCAGCATCAGCAAAAGATGGTGGCAATGTACTCCAGATTCCAAAGCCTCTTGAAGTGAAACAGCACAGTGATGAACTTCTATGATTGACACTTGGGCACCCTGCTTTGAGCTTTGCCTTTTGCTCTCTCATCTGCTACTAGTAGCATGCTGGACCTTATCCTTATGCAACACAAGTAATATACTAACAGGTATTGCTTGTTGGAGAAGGCCTAACCAGGACCGATTTTTAAGCCAAGGTGGATAGGATAATCTTGTGGCAATTGAAATCTGCAAATGTGCAACTAGTCTTCTTCATGAAGGGAAGTTGTACTTCTGCTATGCTTACACCGAGGTGTAATCAAATAAAGACACTGGGAAGCTGGTGGAAGCAGCAGTGGTGGCCTTCTAGTATCTTTTATTTCACCCCTCCTGTCCTAGCCACATGTCTCTGCATGCAGCCACTACATGGTGAACACTATTCGTTCTACCATAGGCTGGTGAGTAACTAACACCTCTGATCAAGAGAGGTGGAGCAGAGAAAGTGGCAGCAGCCCTCACCCCCGACTGGTAATAAGAACTCTCCCCTTCCATCCTAAATATATATCTTGTTCAATATTTTCTACATCAATTTTATGCATTTTGGCAGAATAGTTTCTTTGTAGACAGTGCATTGTTTTTTCCCTTGATGAAACTACAGCACAAGAACATTATTAGCTGTTTGCTCATTAAGTGCCAACAGCCTTTTTACTGAACGGTTTCTGTGCTCCATCCAAGTCCTTTTGCCTCTCCTCAATCTACACATTAAAGAAAGGGGAGAAGTTTCAACGTTGTACTAACCCTTGTCCTTGCATCTGGGATCAATCAATTTCTCCCTTCTGAATTTCGAGATAGCCCTTAAACTGTCATGGTAGAAGCTCTGAATTGGTGAGTAGTACGAAGTGTCGACAGCCTGTGTAAAATCGGGCAGTCATTGTCGTGCTTGACAGATCATTTACAGTGCCAGCACCAAATTCGGATGATGGTATGTACGATACTCACTGTTGAGAGCCGAAGAATCCCTCTGCTTTGCTACTGATAACAATCAGCTCTCTTTTTAACTTTTATCGATCATAGAACCTAATCACTTCCCTGGTTTCTCTGATGATTTCATCGAAGCTTTGCACATTCTTAGCTGTTGCTGTCTTTGTTGTTCTGTGGATCTGATTCTACAGAACGAACTTCTGACATTTCCATTCAGATTTCAGAGCGACAGTTTGAACTGTGTAACAACTAACCTTCTGTCCTTGTTACCTCTAGCCTCACATCCACCCCAGTGAATACGCAATCTGAGTCTTTGTGTTGGAGATTTCGTTTAATTACAAATTAAAAAGAGAGGACTAAGGTTTAGTCTGTAACATTAATTACCACACTTGAAACGACGCCTTACATCTAGGCACTGCCACTGAAAGGTGGGTTCCCTTTTCTCCTCTTATGCAAGAATTGTTGAACATGTTAAGAATAAGACTTTGAAACTAAAAACTTGTAAGTTGGGTTTATCAGAAAAAAATGGTGAAGAAGGGTATTAATCCAGTAGTACAAAATTTAAGAGGGTTTAAGGCTTTAAGCAAAGATGGATCTGGTTCATTAATTAATCATTAACCTTATTCTGGGCTGGCCCATACAGTGGATGACAATAGCATCTGTTCTTTGGTTTGGTCTTCATTTTACAGTACCACCTGCAATTTATCTTAATTCAGAGAATTTTATTCTGATTCATGGATGTGATCCAGCTGGTGCATGGTTGTTAGCAGTACCGACAATTCTATTCCAGGACTGTGGTTTCCACCTTTGCCCTTGCGTTTGTCTATTGCATTAGGCTTACTTAACTTTTCACTTTGGACAATCTTTATGTAAGGCTGCAAGGGTTAGTTGTTCCTTGTTGAGCCTTGCAAGAAATTGACTGCCACAGCTCCCGATCTACCCTACCCTTTAAGTAAAGCCCATTCACTTGTCAAAGCTGACAATTTAGAAGGCCATCACGCATTTCTTAAAATGATTGCAATATCACCCTGAGATCAAGTATCAGGCACAAGGTTGGTGGCTTGTTTAATTTCTTCATATGTATGTTCTTGGGAGTTGGGAACTAGCATCTATCTAATCTAGTACACACTAGATGACTTATCTCAGAGAGTTGTGATATAATGGTCATCATGTGATTGATCATCGTTTCTTCTGCAGATGTATTCCCCTCCCTGCAGTGCTGCTGCAAGCAGCCAAGGGCATTGTTTCGCGGTCGGAGCTAACCAGCTTGCTTCGCTTGACCTTGCCATGGACTTCGACGAGCCTATCCTTTTTCCTGTGCATAATGCAAGTTTGCAAGAGGGGATTCAGTTTTACAATCCTACCGGCGGTATGTCTCTCTCGTTACCTATGTTCTATTTTCAAGGATAACCACAGTATCCTCCTCTCTTTTTTTTTTTCAATTAGATAACCACAGTTTCTTAATTTGTGAAGTTCCTAACTATTACAGTTTCCGTGTTCCAACTCCCCAGATACTCAGCTAAGTAGAAACATGAGCATTGACAAGTGTTTGAAGGGCAGTAAAAGGAAGGGCTCAGGCGAGGGCAGTTCATCGCTACATTCCCAAGTAACAAGTTAATTAGAAGCTCTCTTTGCTTAGCTTCATCGGGTGGGAGCACGTTTCATCGTGAAAATCGTACTACTGCAGGAGGAAACCGGTGAAATGCCTCAGAGAGAACTCAGCATGGAGCATGCCGGAGAGAAGGCGGGTGATGCTGACGCTAGCAGGGAGGAGTACGTGCATGTCCGGGCAAAACGCGGCCAGGCGACCAACAGCCACAGCCTTGCAGAAAGAGTAATTGATCTCTCCAACATTAATGGAAGATCTTTCTGTGTATAGATTTTCTTGCTCACACAGCTTCACCATCTGAATGCAGTTTCGAAGGGAGAAGATAAACGAAAGGATGAAGCTTCTGCAGGACCTCGTCCCAGGATGCAACAAGGTAGCAACGAAATCAATAACTCTTTGAGTCTGTGATGGTGTGGTGTGCTCTAACCTGTGTGAACATGTTGCTCTTGACAAAGCAGATTACAGGGAAGGCCATGATGCTCGACGAGATCATAAACTACGTCCAGTCTCTGCAGCGACAGGTGGAGGTAAGTGTCCCGAAATTACACATCTTGTCAACAAGAATTTACACTTCTCAATGCCAATCACTGACTGAACTATCCATGAAGTGCTTATCCGTGCCGGGTTTTGCAGTTCCTCTCGATGAAGCTCTCGACAATCAGTCCTGAGTTGAACTCTGACCTCGACCTGCAAGATGTAAGATGAAAAAACTCCAACTCTGAAGAACAAATAACTCATCTATCACCATTGCTACACCTTGATCCTTTCTTTTTCACTGCCATACAGATCCTTTGTTCACAAGATGCTCGCTCCGCATTTCTGGGATGCAGCCCGCAATTGAGCAATGCCCATCCTAACCTTTACAGGGCGGCTCAGCAATGCCTCTCACCTCCTGGCTTGTACGGGAGTGTGTGTGTCCCAAATCCCGCAGATGTTCATTTGGCAAGGGCCGGTCACTTGGCTTCGTTTCCTCAGGTCTACATCTAACTCCAGTGAATACAGTAGTTCAAATCCTTCAGAACAGCCGAGAGTTATTCATGTTTTCTTTGCTGCAGCAGAGAGGCCTCATCTGGAACGAGGAACTTCGCAACATTGCTCCGGCCGGTTTCGCTTCAGACGCCGCTGGCACCAGTAGCTTAGAGAACTCTGGTATTTTTCAGAGCTCCACTGCCCTACTTGCTTTTTTTAAATACATTTCTTCTGCAGCTGAAATTCTGGCGATCGTGATGCTGCAGATTCGATGAAAGTGGAGTAGCTAGTCAGCAGCTGGTGATGAACAATTGACACGCCTGAAAGTCCTGAAATGATCGCGCGTTGGACTGCTAATGGAGGGATGCACTCTTTCAGGTTTGCAAAGGCTGCACACAGGTTTCCATTGGGGTGAGCGAATTTGGTGGTCGTCGAAGTTCTCGAGGAAAACTCTGTAGCCTAATCATTGTACAGTTTGACTAATCGAAAAGATGAAAGTTTGAGATTTGGTGTGTTGTACTGTTTCTGCTTGGATTGGTTGTGTAACTGGGTTTGGTGGCAAATGGGTCTACTTGGATTATTGCCATAAAATTTTTGCTACGATTTCTTAAAAAAAAAAACTTTTTACAACGAATTTGTTTAGACTACTTGTGCTAACCTATTTATTATTCCCTTTATTTCAAAATATAGGAACTACAACTGGATTAAACATTACTCCTAAGATCACGAATTTGGACCTAGATTGTGTTTAATCTGATCGTAGGTTGCTATTTTTAAGACAGGCGGGGTAGGTTATAATATATAATATTCAATTTATCATTAAAAATAAATAAGTAGATTGTCCATCGATGTTTATTTACATTTCATCTGTTTGCTCAATTTCAAATTATTTGTCATTCTGGTTTGTCTTGAGTCAAATGTTTCTATCTTTGATCTCTACTTATAGAAATATGTATATTTTAACAACATACAAAATGTATATTATGAAAGTATTTTTATAGTGAATCTAAAAAGGTAAATGTTATGATGTTAAACTATACCATCAAAGATACACTTAAAGACAAAACTCCTAAAAAACAAAGTAATATAAAACAGCGAGTGATTCAAATGGGGGCTTAGGATAGATCTTGATTGCTTACGAATTATGGATTATTGCATACATGTTCTCCAAGCTCCTAAACAATACATTTTCTGAAAAAAGACATTTTTATCAACATTTATTGGTAAACTTCTTTTAAATCAAATCATCAACTTTTCTAATATTTAATTTTTTTATTTGTGCCACCGAATAATGGTCATAAACTCGATCAGATTCACCCATTCATCTAATAATACCTATAAGCCGAAAAACATGGCCGGAGTAAGATAAAATATAGGGTAAGACGTTTGTAGTTTCACTTTCAGTGGTCCAAATCTTATGGTAAGAATCGAAAGCGAGGAAAATGATTTAATTCTAAAATTAGGTTTCAAAAATTGAAATAGGACGTGATTAAAACAAGTAGGTACCATTTGCTAATGAATTGATTATTTGACATATAGTTATTATTGTATGTACAGGTTTTTTAGGATTTAGGAGGAAAAAAATGTTTGTTTTCAAGCCTCAAGTATAAAAGTTTGGGATTGAAAAAAAAAGGGAAATAAGAAAACATAGAATTTGGATAGAAATATATGTGCAAAACATATAAACATATAGAAATGATCGTTTGAATAGACCATAGAAAAAACATAGGAATAGAATTAGAGAGATAAGTCTTAAAGAAAATTCTTCAAGAGTTGGAAATTTTTGCTAACTTCTTCCACAATCTTCATAGAATTACCCATTCTATAGAAATTTTAAAGAAAATGATAATATTTTGTTTCAAAGGTTTTCTTAGGATTTTCTTTTTAAGATTGAAATTCTTTAATTTTTCTATGTTCCCCTATAAATCAAATCAAAGGAGCCTTTAATCTGGCTTCAACTTAGATAAGGATACTGGAAAGTTGTTATCTATACTACTAGTAATGGTGGTGTCCATTCTATCATTCACCCCTACCACTAATATTTGGATCCCACAATTTATATTATTACTAGAAAAAATGCCCGTGCGTTGCAACGGGTAAATGCTATTTTAATTCTATTATTGTTATAACTAGGATAAAATTTATTGTGGGAATTCACTTGGATATTTTTTCAGAAAATCATGAGCTGCAATTAGAAGTCTGTATTTCTTCTCAAGTTAGCATGTGAGTTTTTTTTTTCAAAAAATTTCTTATATGACTCATTTTATACTTCTAAAAGGAAACAAGCTTAAAATCCAACTCAAATACAAATATGTATTTCGAAAAACGAAAGAAAATTAAAACCGACTCAAATACGGATAACGTACCAAAATACCATAAAACATTTTCAATTAAAGGAATCAAGCTTAAAATCCAACTCAAACATAGATATATATATTTCCAAAAATGAAAGAACTTGAAAACCGACTCAAATACGAATGACGTATCAAAATACCGGCAAAAATATTTTTAACTTTTATAATAGGAGAGATATACTATCCTCCAATGAGTCATCCTGTTTCACTGCTAGCTCTCCCTAAATTTTGAAATCACATACTTATTCAATAAGAAAAATCATAAAGGTACTGCTTGTACTAAATACGTGCATAACTGACTTGATAAACTACAAGCTCAATTTGTTTTTCGTTGCAACACACAGGCTCTTGGCTAGTAAAAACAAATAATGGTGGTGTCCGTTTTAAACTGCTTTTCGATTTAGCTGCTTTCTTATCTTTTTCGTTAGCACATATTTTAAACTTTTAATCGATGTGTTTCATACGGAAACTTTATTATAGCAAATACTTTAAAATAAAAAATAAATATAATTCTTAAGTTTTAAAATTTTGATACTTAATTAATCGTAGCCTAATTATCTCTCTCGTTTTTGCCTACGAATAATCAGCCGTTTCACCACGCTTACTCTCTGAGACTGTGACCGAGAGTAACTGTAAAGAACCTGAAAAAAGTATAGAGATAAAAAAAAGGAAGAAAAAAACACACCTGCTTTCCAATCGCAGCTGCCTCCCATGGCGACCACCGCCTCCCTCCTCCCTCCTCTCCTCCCGGCCCCTTCCTCCTCCCCCCGCCACCTCCACCCCTCCCCTCGCCACCTCCGCCCCTTGCCACCGATCCGCCTCCTCCGCGCCGCCCGCCGCCGCCACCCCGACGCCGTCGTCGTCGTCCCGGACGCCCGCCCCTGGGTCGGCGACCTCTCGGGCGCCGCCGCGTCCTACCGGGACGGCAGGGAAGAGGACGACGACGACGCGGGGGAGGAGGATGACGAAAACGACGACGACGACGAGGACCGCAGCCTGGACCTCCTGGTCCGCTTCCTGCACTCGGTGTTCAGGAAGGTCTCCCGCCGCGCGCGCCGCGCCGCCAGGTCCGTGCTGCCGCCTTCCGTCCCCGCTGAGCTGGTCCGTTCAACCCTTCCGTTTCTCCCCTTTGGTTTCAATCTTCTTCTTGTTCAAATTGAGCGGATCCTTCTCTGTATTGTGTGATCTGGCCTTGATATGTTTAGTTTATGCTTGTGCAGGTGAAGTTCTCGGTCAACGGCGTGCTTGTTCTCACGTTTCTATGGGTCCTAAAGGGGCTACTTGAGGTGAGCAATTCATTTGTCTGAGGCTTGTTTCAAAATTGTGAGCTGATTGTGATCATGCCCTTGATATGAACTACTAAGTGTTACACTGTGATACTATCCAGTGGAGGATTCAGGAATTTTCTTGAGCCTGGTCAAACCTAGTGATGTATAACAAGTACATAAAAAATCAGTATAGCTCCATACTTCCATAGACCATATACTATGAACGCAAGCAAAACCGACAGCTGCCAAGTTGTGATTTAGGAAGAGCAAAACCAGTACGTACGAGAGATTATATCGTTGAGATGATGGCTGTCTATTGCCAATGGGCTAGACTATGGGGCTATTATCATCCTGACAAATGTGGTGATGAGTGCTAGCTTAGAGTTGTGTCGGTTTGACCCTCGTGCAGCAAACATTCAAACCGGCATATCAAGTAGTTTGCTTGGTTGGTTTGGCTCCCATTCGAACCAGCAGATCAAGTAGTAATTGATGGAGTGCTGTCTTGCTCATGTGCTGATCGCAGAGCCTGGAGACCAGCCACAGTTGCTGGGGCTTGGCTCCTCCGCTGATACTAACAGTGACATATAATGGAATAACATTATATGTCCAGAGAACAAACATTGTGCATGCTTCTGAATTTCATGTATGTCCAGAGAACAAATGGGTGTTCTACCTTCGTTGTCATTCGCTTAGAGAGTGAAGAAGACAATCAGTGTCTGATTACATGCTGATATGACACTTTTAAATGTTTGATTTGAGTTTTTTCCCTTCATTCTGATGTCTCGTAAATTTGGTTTTCAAATTTTGGTCAACCAAGTTTGATGAACATGGATGAGAACCAGACAAGTGTATATGATACCACAAAAAAGATTGTCCTTTTCTCTAACTGTCACGTGTAGATGAGAATCCTCACTTTGTTGAAGTGATGCCCTCTTTTCCCTTGTACTAGATGCTTGCTCCCAGTTTTGAGCATAAAACAAAAACATGTTCTAGTACAGAGTATATAATAATGTGCATATATACTCAGAGTAGGGAATGGTGCACATCAGCACATGGTTCAATCATTCCTTATTGATTGTCTACTCTTTGATTGGAGTCATGCTTATGATCAATAAACAGTTATGCTTTCAATTCAGAAAATTATAAAAAAAAATTGTGATGAAATAACAAATACTCCACATGCATTACAAGTACAAGTTTGTTTCTGGGAGACATACAAGTAGTTTAGAATCATGAGATTACTTAATGCTTATAATGGCGTTTTCGATGGATGAATTCAGACCAAATGAGAATGAATCTTGTATTCTTTTGCACTGACACTTTCAGCAAATTTCATTTCTTAGCATTCTGGTAGTTTGGTCATGTGATTTACCTCTGGTGCTTTTGGAATACGAGTTTTTTATTCGTTGTAACATTTCCTATTGATAATAGATGGAAATGGTTCGTCTTATTAAGATGATTCTCTTTAGTGAAATTATGAATTCTGTTTAGTAGAGAAAGAGCCTACTGCTACTGCTGTCAAGTTTGATCCCATACCCACCCCAACCCCCAGCGTCTGGCGGGCTTCCCCTTCTGGATGAGCTCGGTCCACCGCTATCCTCCACAAGGTCGTGCCATTGTCCTCCGTCGCTTCCCCTCCCTCCACTCCTGTCGCTTGCCTTCCCCTTCCTTCCGTCGATCTGAAGGCAGTGAGCAGAGAGGCCAAGGTGGTGGCTGCAAGGAGTAGATGGCGATGTCGCCTGGATCCAAGAGAGAGAGAAGGGGTAAGAAGGAATATATGCTGGCAAATGGGGACAGTCGGATTTTGTAAAATTATTTCATAATCTTGCTGAGTGGATTGCCATGTGACCAAATTAACACCATGTAGTATCAAAACCACTCCGTTTTTTGCCAGGGGGGTAATTTGTCCAGATTCAATAGCTTGGAGGTGTCAAATGTCCGGTATTGTAGTGTAGTTCGCGCAGGGCGGGTGGGTGTGGGGTGTAAATCGTACGGTCCTAACCCTTATAATTGCATACAAGCTTAAACTACACCCTGGTTCTCAAGCAGGGCTACTGAGTACTGACTGTTACTCTCTTCAACTGACACCCCTACACACTGTCTTCTAGTGCCATGCCTTTCCTTCAGTAACTGTTTATATTGTTTGTGCTCAGGTGGTGTGCACATTTGGAAGTATGGTGTTCGTGACCATCCTTCTTGTTCGTGGAATATGGTCTGGAGTGACTTACATAAGAGAAAACCGATATAGCTATATTCGCCAGATTGATAATGATGACAACCGATGGAGCAGAGTACAGACTGCTGGCTAATCATTTGATTTCCTTGACTACATACATACACTTTGCACCAAAGGGATCATCAGTAAACCTTTCCTCACTGTTAAGACAGCATGCTACCAGTTCAGCACCAACTGCCAACAGCTGTTGCTATACAGCAGAGTTGAACAAGAACAAAAGGAATCCCATGTATTCGTCGAATAAGTGGAATTTTCTTCCTCTGCACAAATGCAGGAGGGATGGTTGAGCTGAACAAGATTAATACGCGTGTAAAACAATCCAGCACACTGATGAATGAGAGCTGCTGCTGTGATGCATTTTCTGCTACTCTTTTCTTGAAGAGATGTATCGGTCCTTATTAGTGTATGTATTGTTCCATGCTGTTACAACTAGCCGGTGTAGAAAAACTCATGTTTGTTGTATTGAAAGGTGGTGCACGATACCTTTTTGGTTAAAAAGTGAATATCATTTCGATTTCATTTGAATCTCTCAGAGAAATATGAATCAAGTAGTACGTCTTTTGGTTTGATACCTGAATTCTGAAGTGATTGTTCTGGGATGCAAATGTGCAACGAACCTGAAATAGAAGCCCCACATCCGGATTAGCTTCAGATCATGCCGGGGCGATGGGGCCGGACAACTGTCTTTTGATCGGCAACAGGTTGTCGGATCTTCGGTTTCGTCCTGGCTTTTCGTTGCTCATTCGGGCATTTTTCTTCGTCGGCGTGCCCGTTTGATTTTCGTGCTTCATTTTTATGGCTGCAATTGCAACGGTTTGTTCAGCATTACTTGATAACAATGACGTCTCAAATGCTTAGTGGGGGAAATGGTACAGTAGTATATAATTTATGGGCCTTCTCTTCCAACAAAAAGTTTCAACGTCCTCCCCCTTAATTTGTAATCGCCGTAGTGCTTGCCGAATTGCAGATATGTCACATCAGATCTGCGTGGCATGCACTCGTGCAAAAGTCCAGGGCTCCAGGTTGGAGTTAGACAAGGATCACTCCACGCAGACCAAAAAAATAGAAAAGAAAAGGGAAAATGCAGTTCATTTGTCTCATGTCCTTTTGCCTTTTGAACCTGGCCCGGCGACGTACTAAACGGCAAATGCATGGCTGGAATCCATTCTTTGGTGGGTTCTTCTCTCATTTGCCAACTTTGTTCTTTTGTTTTTCATGTGTATATTTTTTAACTGCTAAACAGAATATTTTTTAAATATATATATATATATATATATATATATATATATATATATATATATATATATATATATATATATATATATATATATATATATATATAGGAAAGTTATTTTAAAGAATCGTACTAATCTAGTTTTTAAGTTTTTACTAATATTTAATTAATCATATGTTAATAAGGTAACTTGTTTTTCATGCGGGAAGAAAAAGTTCTTTTAACTCTCCTTCTCCCGAACGCACGAGGTGTTGTTTGGCGTAGTCCTCTTATCCTCTCCTAGCTAAGGGGGGCTCCCATCGGATGGCCTAATAAGCTAAAGAAAAAGCTAAATTTTAAATTTTTAAACTTAATTCTAAGATTGATTTTGAGATATTTTCAACGTAGTTTTTTTTCAGTATTGGTTTTTAAGTCACCAAGAACATATATATAAAAGTTTTACCTACAAATTTATTTTTATTCTCTAATAAGTCGTTTTGACTTATTAGGAAAAAAAACCAAACGATGGGGCCTGGGGTGTTTGGGTGTCAAAAATAAGTTTTTAGGCCCCCTTTGATTCAAAGGTAATTCATAGGAATTTTAAAGGATTCCATTCCTATAGTAATTTTTCCTATATAGCCATTTGAATCAAAAGAATGAATCCTATGAAATCCTATGAAATTCCTATGGAATGCCTAAAGACATGCAAGTTTTGGAGGAAATCTAGCATGAGGTTCTACCTCATGGAAACTTTCCTATGAATCTTCATCTCTCCTCTAATTCTTGCGTTTTTCCTGCGGTCCAATCAAATAGCCATTCCTGTGTTTTTCTTGTGTTTTGCAATCCTCTGTTTTACACTTACACTCGTACCAAAATCCTACGTTTTTCCTATTCCTACGTTTTTTCAATCCTGTGATTCAAAGGGGCTCTTAAAAAGGGACTTATTTTTCGTGAGATAGCACCCAAACACCCCAGTACGAGCTTCTCTTAAATGTACAACTCTCGGACCAAACGAATATTCTGATCGAGGCCATCAAGGCTTCAGGTTTAATCATCCAGAGACTCGACAGAACGCACGCCCCAGCGGTGCCACACGGTTGCGGTCGATCTAAAACAATAATACTCCCTCCATATTTTATTAATAATCGCATTCGCGAAATATTTTATTAATAATCAAGGCCTTCAACTGTTCAACGAGACAACGAGTTATCTCCAGCAAGCCATTAGCCAGCTAGCTAGGCTCATGCTCGACTCGACAGGTTCAGACAAATGTTCAGTAGCTCTACAGATACGCAGTATATGTGTTATACGTAGTGCAAATTATAAACCTGAAAACTACCGTATATATACTACAATAGTTTTCAGATTTGTAGTATATACAGGGATTTGCACTACATATTATTTTTTTGGTGCAATATAACTTAACTGCACATGTATGTATTTGCTCGTACTAAAGCAGCCTTAACCTCAGATTGACAATGACTTGAACCCAACTAATTAAGTAGTAGTGTAGTACACACTCAAGCTAACTAAGCAAGAATAAATTGAAAACTATACACACTCTAGTTTCTACTATAGGACTAAAAAGATTATGCTTCGCCATTACTATATTTGACCCACCTGATGTTATCACGATGGAGACGTCAGCGTGTAGATAAATGCTACCCATACCACTGACGAAACGAACGAACAAATTTTAAGACACGTGTGTTGCAACTTGCAAGTGTTGCAAACCTGCAACTGACTCAGCTCCAGGCGGGCCTAGCTTGACCCTGTTTAGATCCATGATTAAATTCCTATCATATCATATGTTTGAACCCTAATTAAAAATATTAAACACAAAACCCATTTCATAACCCTATACTAATTCGCGAGACGAATCTATTAAGCCTAATTAATCCATAATAATTTGTCTCTCAAATTAGCTCTCATTTATATAATTAGTTTTATTATTAGTCTACGTTTAATACTCTAATTACTGTCCAAACATCCGATGTGACGTAGAATTTAGGGTGCGATCGTTTCAGCTTTTCATGATTAGATTCTCCTCGTTTTCCGTTAGCTTTTCAAACTGCTAAATGATATATTTTATGCGAAAACTTTCAATAAAAAAGTTGTTAAAAAATCCAACAAATTTATTTAAAAATATATATATATTAATACTTAATTAATTATATACTAAGTGTATTTTCCGTTTTGTTTTGTGTGCGGCTAAACAGTCCACCGTCACTGCTGGAACGATCGAACCCTTTAGTGTCTGATCAAAACACCACCAGCCTCCAACCAGACGCAATGAATACGTACGTACGCGAATGCGACAGTCCTGATTGGTCCTCTTTTCTTTTGTTTTTTCCATTGTTTTCTCGCTACTTGCCAGAGTTAATCCCTATATTTTCTCCCAAATTAAATTGAGTGCCATGCATATCCCCAAATCCCTAAATCAAAGTAACATCCCAAATCTTCACATCACAAATCCTAAGTTACTTATACACACAAATCAAATACATCACAGATTATACATCTCATATTTATGCAATGAATCACAAATTCTAAAATAAAGAAATTATACATCTTAGCGAATCACAAATTATATATAAAAAAAAAGAAAGGATGCCGGTAGAGGAGAGGGCGCCCCGCCTCCATGCATGCGCGCCCCCCGCCCCCTCTCCCGACGGCCGGCGCCTGCCGCCTGCGGCCCCACCGGCCGCCGGATGGGAGGGGAGGAGGAGAGGGGATGATCCGATCTTATCTAAATATCTCGGTGATGAGGAAAGTCTTGTCTAGGACTTAACCGATCGAAGATGGGAGAGAAATATTTACTCCCGGTTTAGTAACTCCAACCGGGACTAAAGATGGATTTTTAGTGCCGGTTGGTGTTACTAACCGGGACTATAAATCTCTGGCGCCCTGACATCCTCTGACATAAATAGAACTGGGACTAAAGATTCTATAGTCCCGCTGCACTTTTAAACCTGGATTAAAAATGGTTTTTAGTCCCCTTTTTTGGTTGAACCAGGACTATTGTAGATTTTGGGCAACCCGGCAAAGATCACTTCTCCAGTAGTGTCTACAGTAGCGTTCATATTGGAAGTTGATATTTGAAAATTAAAATGGTAATCTTTGGGGTGGAGTTCTGTCGATAGCTACTTTTCTGTACGGCTTCGGTTGGTCCCATATGTACATGTGTCTGCAGTGCTGTAGTTTTCGCGGCGAAAAGGAAATGCATCAATCATGCCGAAAATTCACTCAATGTTGCCTAGTAGTACTACGCTATTGAGGGTGCGTCATCACTGTTTCGATGGTCAGTTTGAATCAACACAAAGCCCCCTCGCATGCCACTTCTTTGATATTACATCATGATAAATAGGGTTCGACTCGTTCATGTCTCCACACCCAGGTTATGCCGCAACATCCTAGATTGAAATATGACAGCAAACATTTGCTATGGGCAGGGATTAGTCCACTTCGGTAAAACTGCCCAACCTGTCACGTTTTGGAAGAACTTCGGAATAGGTTTTTCCTAGTTAGGTAACTCGGTTTAGACACCATGACCCCTATGAATTATCAAGTTGCAGCTTCGCTAATAAGTTGTTTACAAAATGAAAGAAGAAAATACGAAAGAAAAGCGTACGCTAAATTTTAGGGGCTGCTACAGGATGGGATCTTGTGCCCATCTCTCCAAACGATACTTGATGTCAGACTGGTACAAGGTTTGATACTCATAGATACCAAACTTATACCCCCATCAATTCCCTAGCTCATACCCATTAGTATCGTATTCATGGTGGGATGCTATCATGTGAAGCCAAATTGTGTCGTCTCGCTTAGACTTGCTTTTGAGGATATGGATTCAAGGAGGCACATCTAAAATCGACGGCAGTGCTCAGCAGTAAGGATGGTTTGCCTTGGACGGATGCATGGTTAATGGATGAAGGTCGATGTGGTGGCGCAGGTTGACATGAATGAACCTAGTGTGGTGGAGGACAGCGACTGCCACGATCGCAAGTTGACGGTCGGACTTTGCGAGGAAGATGGCATCGACGGTCGGATTGGGCGGTCCCTGTATGCTCTCACCATCGAGGCATCGACACATAGGATCATGGTTGTCGTAGCTACATGGATCTAGGCTTGTCAAGATCCTTCGCCCGAAGTTGAACCATGCAAGTGAGTTAGGCCAGTGCCACCAACCACTAGTGACCTCCTAGATCTGCATCGTCGAGGCCATCCCTGATCTTGCTTTACATAGCCTCGTTGACCCTAGTGTCACAACCTAAATCTCATTAGGCTTATCCATGACGGCTTCCTCCACAACCTCCTAGATCTTGTTTGTGTACGCCAGCTACAACCTTGCTCT